TCGGGCCCAGTCAGCGGCCATATTGTAGCGAAGGAGACGGTGCACGAAGGTGTCGATGGAGTGAGGAGAATTACTAGCTTAAACAAGAAACGATTGATATTAGGGACTTTTAGGCGTCGTCGAGAACTTTGCAAAATATAACAATGGATGACAAAACACAGATGAAAGAGTTAAACCAGTGGATAGACCAGTTGATGGAGTGTAAACAGTTGGCGGAGAATCAAGTCAAAACTCTCTGTGAAAAGGTAAGACCGGATTATTATTTTATCCTCGTTTAGGCTCCTCGTGTCTCCTCCGTGCTGGTTTTTGCAAAGCAATGACGCCCTTGGGGACGCTGCAATATTTCCCGGCGAGGGCGGCGATGCAGGGGCGAGCGGGAGGCCGAGAGAATGAAAAGAGGCGAAGGCGGAGGCGATGCTGCAGGGACCCACACCCAGCGCCGAGGGGCCGCCCGTCACGTCTCGCTTTGGAAGGCCTCTTCATCGGCCTCTCTCTCTGTCTGGCTTGGAGCTCCGGAACTGGGACTGGGAACTGTTGCGATTTGCTTTTCTGTGCTCGAAGCGCGTCCCGGCTCTTGGGATTGGCCTTTCTAGCGGGAATTGCAGTGGCCCGAGATGACGGGCTCGGGAGGACGAACTGGTAGCCATGACAAGGTGGCCAAATTTTGTATCTGCTTTCTTATTTAAAACGAATGGGTTCTCAAGATGGGATATGTAGTATATTGTTCATGGCATCAGAAAGTTAAAGTATTGAAGTTAACAGCAAACGTTTAAGAATGAAACCAAAGAAAGAACATGATATGAATAAAACATTTTAAAGTGCTGTATCCATTACTGTGTAAAAAATAAAATTTTAGACCTTGGGTTTGGGATTAAACATGTTTTTTCTCCTATATATTTTGATATAATCAGAAGGAAACTGGTACTTTGGTATAGTAGGCCTTTATTTTTGTTTTAACTTGGATTTTTCAGGAAAGGGAAGAGTGAATACAAATCACCTCCCTGGAGATTGATCATCTGAAAAGAAACAAGTCCATATTTATAGTTGTCATATTACTTTTAATGCAGCTTAGTTAATTTCCCACAGCCATGTTGCATAAGGTATAATTTATCTGTAATGACCAAAAGTAACACTTTTCATATATTGTATTGCCCTTTTTAAGTTGGTAATATAAAGTTGTTCAGACTATACATTTACAGGAAAACACATTGGCACTACAATAATCAGAGTAAAACAACGATTGCTAATACATGAAATAAACTTCATAGACCAGTAATAAGTTAGAAATTAAGAATGTAGATTGCGACAAATGCCATGCAATGAGCAAACCACAGGGATCGGGTGGGGTCCCCCAATAGGGAAATGTGATTGAATGGGGTTTGGGGGAGAAGCCCCAGGGTTAGGAAGGTGTTTGGTTCGGCAATGTTTGTGGATTTCCCAGGAATGGCTGGAGTAATACTTAATATCAGAGGGGTAAGGCTAAACATTACTAATAATGTCGTTTCTATCATTTGTGACAGAAAATAAGAAGTGACTCATACATATTACAGCTTTCATAATTGAAGAAAGGAAGGATAATTTTAACCCATTCGCCGCGGATGGCAAGAATAGATGCCATACCCACTTTGATACACGTTTATTTATTGTATTTACACCTAGATGGCTCCACAAGTTCTTAATCACCAAATAGCCAGTTATCAAGAACTACCTATTTCACCTGTTTAGCCTTTTCCTTCACTTTCGGAAAGGGTTTTTTGTATCATCTTATTGTCAAAAATATTCTAATGACAATTCAATCATCATAACATCAGTAACAATAATAACAGCATCGAAATCAATGATATTAATTTTCCCGCCAATTCAATGAATGGGAAAATCAGGGTCGGTAACTAGGGCCTACTGATAGACTCCTTGCCGGCTGAGTACATGTGGAGCCATCTGTAGGTAGCAAAATTCACCAAAACCAACAGGGGTCAGAACATAAATCCGTGGCCAATGGGTTAAGATTGGATGGCTGTGTGAAGCAAAAAATTAACCACAGGAGCCTCTAAACTCCACAATCCCGGAAAGCTGGCAAACTTCCACCATGATTATTCACACAGGAAATATTGCAACCTATACCACCTACTTTGGGCACTGTTAGTACAAAAAGCAAAATGAAAGTATCCTTTCTTAGTCATTTTCATGACTTTAACCCCTTCACGATGGGTGACGCCAATTGGCGTGAAAACAAACTGTTCGAAATGTGGTGTGTGGCTATACGCCGTGGCGGTGAGCCAGTGATTCGGCCTGATGTACCGAACTCCCACGCTCAAAGTCGGCGCGCTGCCATTATGCACCAGGATGTAGAGTTCTTCTTCTTCTTCACCCTTAGGTGATGGCATTAGAAATCTCTCGGCATCATACACTCCTGTGATATCTGGCAACTGCACTGCCATTTGGAGTGAGAGTCCGCTACATGTAGCTTAGCTTCCCAATCAATGTGTTCTATCGCGTTCCCATGCATAGAGCTGGACCCAGCAGATCGAGCGGTTTGTTATGATAGCTATAGGTGTGGCTCGGCAGTGACAGGTTAAGTGAGCAATGATTACCAGGTGACTCAGTTCCCCAAAATAAAATAATCGATTAAAGAAGAGCATATGCTCGAATCAGAACAGCTCTCACAGGTATTATGTTCTAAGTAATTTCCAAGTTTAATTTTACACTGGAAGTAGCTTAACCCAAATCCGTGGCATTGCATGTACATACATGCCATGCCACTGTAAGTTTACTTATTACATGTGTAGCTATGTTGAAAAGGTATGAATGAGAATGAATATCCATTCTGTGCTCAGTTTCTATGTTGTGATATAGCAGAAAACAATCCGAATAATAATCTATGGGGAATTAGTGAATAGATAGTCAAATACAGGGGGCTTGGCAAAGAATCCACCATGTGTGTACATCAGGATAGAGCATAGGGCAGACTCGGTATCAGTCGCTGCCGCATGTTGGTCATACATTCTACCCTGCCGTGAAAATGTTGAGAATTCTTCATCCTCTGTAAGATGGTGGATCATAGTCCAGACTTGTGCCACTGTGTAGTAGTTTGGGTGTTGGAGCCACTCGTTCCTGAGATAACTGCAAGAGCAGAGAGATGTCACAGACCACAACATTCACAGCATGTGTTACTGTGACCATCTCAAATGGCCATATATATCTAATGGCTATAATAGACTCAAGTAGCCAGCCTCATACAGTTTAATATCTAGAGGAGTTCTCAAAATCAGCAATTCAGAAGTGTAAAGAACTCGGTTGCCATGCTTGTAGCATTATGACAGATACCAGAGCTAATGTAAACCAAATGAAGAAATTGTTAGAAAAGTTAAGTGAATTGAAGCTGGTGATCTATGGATGTACTGCACACATTCTGAATCTTGTGGCTCATGATCTGGAAATTGGCAGTATTAAAGTGGTGTATATAGTAAAATACTTTTGAAACAGTCACTATGCTTCTGCAAGATGGAGTACCATGTGTAACTGTCTGAATATATGTATAAAGAACTGGCCAGCTCTCATCAAAATTTGTGAAGTTGATATGGTGCAGATTGATGTCGGAGTTAGAGAGTTGTCTTACTTAACCCCTTAATGACGAATGCCACAGCCACAAATCGAGCAGTTTGTTATGACGCTTGAGGGTGTAACCCATCAGGAAGGGGTTAACACTGAAGTGATCAGCAGAGGACCTACTTTTACGACTAGAACCAATAGCTGTGGTTTTGGACAAAATACATTATGGAAAGAATTAATCACAACTATATGCAATGACAGAGATGCAGTAACTGCTGTGAAAAGGTTTGGCCATAACGCAAGTTTGACTTCTTCCAGACCTGATTCATCCATCCTTTCAATGAAAACTGCTTAGTTCAGAAGTGAATAATTCAAAGGACTATATCAGTGAAAAGTTTCCCTCACTTGTCCCAGTCAGTATGAAATTTCAAGCCAAATTGGCCCTTTTTCATGCAATTATATTTAGGGATTTCAAGACCAGGTGTATGTCAGCTGCTGAATGGTGGAGGTCACATTCAAATGTGTTGGATAGTAATGTCATTTCTGCAGCACAACAACTGTCTGCAATGGCATCTTCATCATGGGTTGAAAGAGTTTTTCAAGCTATGGTATTGTACATTCATAACTGAGAAACCAGCTGAAGATAAGAAAAGGAGTAAAATTGGTTTTGTATAAAATCATGAATGCACACGAAGTTAATATATTTGATGATGCTAATAATCTGAATGCATGAATGAACCAACTTTATTGTCATAAGAATTAGAAATAAAACCTTTATTTTTAAAGATTTAAAATTTGAATTTCAACAAACTTGTAATTTGTTTTCATGAGCTACTTTTCAATAGAAGGGAATAATAACTTTTGAAAGAAGAATGTTTTTCCAGTATTAATTCTATGTGCTTTTGTTTCAGATACAGGCTATAATATTAGTGTATTTCCTTTTTTAAGATCATTACTTCAGGATATGAATATAATCATATATTATAAGTAAACCTCTTAAATTTCCCTTTTTAATAGCATGCAGGATTTTTTGTTGTGCTGTATTGTAAAAGTAAATGCTTTGGCATTTAGTGTGAGTATATATATATACATATATACACGTGTGTGGGGGGGGTGCTTTCTTTTTCTTTCTATCTTTCTTTCTCTCTTCGTTTCCATGTAAAATCAGCGTCTTGAAATGCCAGGAACCAAAGTTTGTCTTAGTGAAGCTTAGGGGGGACTGGCCTTTTATGTGGCTAGGAGAAAAGATAAGTTGCAGGATTTGTTGGTCATAGAAATCAAATGTATTTGACTAGGATTTCAAAAAAAAAAAAAAAAAAAAAAAGCTAAATTTATAACATGTATTTATGTCATATGAGATGCTTTGAATGATATTATTTTCCAAGCTTGTAGAAAATAAGGAGCATTCTGTAGATTCATTGCATTGCAGATTACTTTCGAGAAAATTTTAT